TATAAATTGGTATAGCTTCTTTAAATGGGGACATAAAATAAATAGAAATACAATTTGAACAAATTAATAAAAATCAATATGGAGCTCTGTATAAAACTACTGGTGGACACTGCAGTGTGTGGAGAGCTCAGGGTGGTAGAAAGTTCGGACGACACTGGTCATGTTTCAAACAGAACCGAGGTCAAAAATAAGGGACGAGGAATGGAGGACTTCCGCACAGTCTTGCACTGCACCACCAAGGGAGGCGACAGGGAAGAACCTCAGCTCAGGCTGCATCTGCACCACCAGAAGGCGGCAGCAGAACGACTCTCAGAACAGTCTACACCTGCCTCACACTCAGGGGGCTACAGTAGGACTCAGAACAGTCAGCCCTGCACCTCGGGGGGCGGCAGCAGAGGTACGAGAGGAACTTCTCCAACGTTGTGAGCAGACGATATCAATGGTGGTTTGTTCTGTGAAAGAGACAGTTGTACCAGTGCAGTTAATAACTATCAAACCCATTGATATGGTGACAGAGGAGAGACTGAATGACCGAGAGATGGGAGAGCAGAAAGATGAGAGAGACCAGAGGCAGACGCCAGCTGTGCAGATGCACACAGGAATGAAATATTGTTACTGTTAGTTCAGTATAATGAATCACATTCAAGAAAACAAACTTCACCATACTGTATCCATCTATCAGAGACCAGTACATGAACGTGTAGAAGAGTAACATCTTGTGTGTCCATCTTCCAATAAGTACAGTATCAATCAAAATCCCATTTAGAATCTATATTGCTCTAGCCTCAACCTGATCTACAGACCCTTGTCCCTTTCGGAGCTAGATCGTCCCTCAAATGTGGGCCTTCCCAGAGGTTTCCTCACTTTTCTCCACAGGTCTTAAGAGTTGCTCGTATAATGCAGAAGGCTCTAAGGGCATTGGTCTCTTCCCATCAAGGACCAGATGTCTCCATGGGTTTGTTATAATTTAAGTTCTTCCTGTGTTTGAACTGTGTGATAAGCCCAATTTGTGTTGGTGAATTGACTCTTTGTTAAGTCTCAAGTAAGTAACTGTTTCTCAAGGGAAGGTGCAGTCAGGGGAGGGAAGGGGAGGCAGAGCTCACCTGCCTATTATTCGGGGAAACTAATTATTATTTTAATAGTTAAATATATTATTTTATATCCACATTGTCCCTATGCTTTTAATGTATATTGCACGGTTTCCCATTCAGTTTTGATCATTCTGAAGTCAAATTCGCCGAAATCCGTTAGTCCTATTCAATGAGACGAGGTGAGGCCAGCGCTCCTGCGTGCATCACCAGACCGCTCCCTCACAGTGTCGTGTGTGTGTGTATGAGTGCACTCAGCCTCGTGCAGTTGATATATCAACCGTTTGTTTCAAATTTCCTGCTTTATAAACAGTTTTTTAAATCTCTTAGTGTTTAGTAGGTATTGCACGTTATGTGTGTACAATTTATATTTAAGTTTAAGTCTTTTGATCGTAATGAAACACAAGAATAAGCTTGGGTGAGGCAGGCGGTATCTGTGCCTCACCGCTAGGGGTAGATGTGTGATAGTGAGCATAAAGTTCATACAGAGTTGACTAACAAACAATCAGCCCAAAATGCTATTTCTATTGCTGAAAATGGATGATTTGAATGAAGATTTTTTTTTCTCAATTGGATCTTCCAACAAAGAAAGAACTTTATAATAGATGGTGGGGACCACACTGTACTTACGAGGTTAGTCCGGTGCGAGGGAGGAGTATGTATAATCTGTGACTCGTTTTATGTTGAAACATTGACTGATACGCAAAGTAGTGCTTTTCCGAAAAACCACTGATTCAAACACTCTCAAGAGTTCTGCAAACTTGTTTAAATTATTGTGTATGTTCCTCGCGTCTCTCTCCCTCGGCGTCTCCGTCCTCTCTCTGCTCCTCGCGGGTCTCAGTCTCTTGCTCCTCTCTGTCTCACTCTGTCTCCTCTCTCCTCGCGTCTCTCTCTCCTCGCGTTCCGTCTCTTCTGTCCTCGCGTCTCCGTCTCTCTGCTTCCTCTCTGTCTCTCTTCTGCTCTCTCTCCTCGCGTCTCTCTCTCTGCGTCTCCGGTCTCTCTCTGCTCCTCGCGTCTCGTCTCTCTGCTCCTCTCTGTCTCTCTTCTGCTCCTCTCTTCGCTCGTCTCTTCTCCTCGCGTCTCTCGCACCTGCGCTTCTTAAAGATGTTGTTTGATGCGGAGCAGAGTCAGCAGCTAGATTTGTTGTGAGAGTTATTAAAGAGTGGTTCCTGATCTTTACAGGATATAAAGTTTGTGGTTGTATTGCATTGGTGATTAAATGCTATTTTATTGAATAATGATTGTAAATCTTGACTTTTAAAGTCAGTGCCTCACCAATCACAAAATCACCGCACGTCCCTGCTGTTTCTATATCTTATTGTGGTGTTTGAATTATATAAACATCAGGGAATAACCACCTTGGTATGGAAACTATTGAAAATGGGACAAAAAGCCTCTTTGACATCTAAGAAAGTAAAGAGAGTGTCATGCAATAGGATCCGAATGTGATTATTGGATTAGTAAAACTGGGGGGTACCTGACTTTCTCTATTTAAAAATCTCTGTAATCTCCCCACCGGAGATTTTATAATACAACAACTTAATAATTAATAATAATAATGCAGGGGTTTTACATAGCCATCTCTCAATAAGCGTCACTCCAAAACACAAAGGTCATAAAAATACTACTGTAGCCCTACAGCTGCTGGGGACTCTGAGATAAGGAATGAAAGTGATCTTTGGTGTAAGACAGAACCGTATAAATCAAAGATTTGAAAGATCAGGTTAAAGTTAGTTCTGTGATTGTCACTAGGACAAGGGACAGGTTCATGCAGAAGGTTCAAAAACACAGAGGCGTCAATCGGTCTTCTTTAACTTTTTATCTAACATTCTGAAGGTTTCAGAGCAAACCCAAACACTATAAATTAACAGATGAGACTTAAGTGTTTTACTATTGATCTTCCATTATTGGTTATTTTAACACTTGGATTCTCCCAGAGATTTAGTTTTATGCTTAGAGACTCTGAGTCTGTAGACTCTTGCCTCCCTCATAACTTTGACTTTTCCTGTTTTTAGCTGTTGTTTTTTCTGTCATTATTTTTATGAAAATTTATTTTTTACGTTGTTATTCGCATTATAAAGGCGGAGATCTTGAGTTAATTCTAAAGTAAAATAATGTAGCCGTTGGATCTTTGGCAACCAACAAGGTGCTTGGTCCTTGGACGGTCCTGGCACTGCTAGCTGTAGCACTTATAAAAGTGGAGTAAAAGGTAAAAAGATTGTGGATCACTTTTAACAAATCTGGTGGAAAACAAACTGTTTGGGGATTTTTTCTCTGGAATTGGCAGGTTTTGAGGGAGAGCAGTCAACAAAGACGGCTCTGGGAGCTTTGGATGTCCTTGTGTAAAAACTTTAACATGGATGAAAGAACACACCACTTTATACTGTTGACAACAGTTTATCATCTCTGTTTTGGACTCCCTGATGTAGTTACTAACGTGACCAGCAGAGGGAAGCCACTCACCTGATCTGCACAAAAGCTCAGAAGCCTCTGACGGTTCCTACACAAAACAAACACAAACACCCACACCCACACACACACACACACAAACAACACTGTCAATCACACACTCTGAGCCTGGGTGCATCCTCAGGGGCTCTCGCTCAGAAGCATCCTTGTGAGCCTAAGGAGCCCCGTGAGACCCAGGGAGCTCCTCAGGGGCCTCAGGATCCTCATGGTATGTCATCTCGTTGCATGTGGAGGAAGAGGAACTTACTTGTGGTGACTGTACATGAGTTTGTTCTGTTGTATTCGATGTAAGGACTTTGTTCTGGAAATAGAAACACAATATGTTACACATGTCTACTTTCTTTCTTCGCCACCAGGACGAGTCCCCTGTTACTGCCAGCAACAGAGCTGAAAGCCAGTTTGCCGCGGGTCACACAGCCCCTAGGCCACTTTAGGTGTGTACATCAGCCTAACTGATGCCGTTATCATCTCACCTCGCTCTTGTCCTGTAGTACTTCTGAGGCTGTCTTTGGGAATGTTTGGGGGAATAATGATAAAGCAGGGGATTCTGCCGTACGGTTGTCCTGCTCCACTAAGCTGGAAGTTCGTATTAATTTCATGAAAAGGTATTTGATCCAGATCGCTTTTGGTGAAAGGTCGACGGTTTTATCTCGGATAACCTGCGACACAAGAGCCGGTTTATTGCAGTCATTAGTTTCTAGAAGTATTTTGAATAAAAAACTATTTCCACTGCTTTATTTAAGTACGACTTTTACTTTTAAGTATTTAGCACTTATTCTTTAATGACAAATGTTGAACTTTAACTTTGAAAATGTAAATTAGTTGGTCCCTCATCATACATTACCTTCTGCACCTTCACGGCCTGTGTGCGTTTTGTTTCGTGGGCAATAATTCAGGTAATAGTAGTATTAGTAGCAGGTTATAGTAGTAGTAATAGCAGTGAGTTTTGTAGTAGTTCAAATGTTTGTTTTTTGTAAAGATAATCAATTACTCTTCCTTTTATCATCTTTACTTTTCTCAGTCCCTGAGGGACATGTGATACCGACTGCTGGCCTTTGGCACAGATACATAACCACGTCTCGCTACTGAGACCTGACGTGAACAGACCGGTGATGGTTGGTTTCTGTCTCTCAGGAGAAGGTAACTCTCTCCATCAGGGACTTTCGCTGAAGCGCAGTGAGGAACGACCCTCTTCTGCCTTCCTCTTCAGAAGATTCTTTCTTTGGCCTTTGGCACAAACCCATGATAGACTGAAACACAGAGGAACAAAACCCACAATCAGACTGAAACACAGAGGAACAAAACCTCAAATCAGACTGAAAACACAGAGGAACAAAACCCACATCAGACTGAAACACAGAGGAACCAAACCTATGATCAGACTGAAACACAGGGAACAAAACCCACATTCAGACTGAAACACAGAGGAAACCAAACCCATGATCAGACTGAAACACAGAGGAACCAAACCATGATCAGATGAAACCACAGAGGAACCAAACCCTTGGACAGACTGAAACACAGAGGAAACCAAAACCCATGATCAGACTGAAACACAGAGGAACCAAAACCCATGATCAGACTGAAACACAGAGGAACAAAAACCCATGATCAGACTGAAAACACAGAGGAACCAACCCATGATCAACGACTGAAAACACAGAGGAACCTAACCATGATCAGACTGAAACACAGAGGACCAAAACACCATGATCAGACCTGAAACACAGAGGAACCAAACCCATGATCAGACTGAAACACAGTGGATCCTAAAAACCCATTGATCAGACTGAAACACAGAGGAAACAAAACCATGATCAGACTGAAACACAGAGGAACAAAACCAGATGATTCAGATGTAACACTGAGGAACCAAACCCGATGATCAGACTGAAACAAGAGGAACAAAACCCATGTCAGACTGAAAAACAGAGGAACCAAACCCATGATCAGACGTAACAAGAGGAACACAACCCTGATCAGACTGAAACACAGAGGACAAAAGGTTTGTCTCAAAGGAGGCTATTATACACAAGACTGGAAGAAGCAAACTCAGTTGTATGTGATTCAGCTCTGGATAAGATTCAGACTCGGGCGCAGACTCAGAGACCACTTTAGTGATCCAGGGCTAAAAATAATTTGTGCACTGGGAAAAAAAACATCAGTATAGCAATGAAGTAGCGGATTGGGTTCATTGAGCTTTTTAGTTTATAATGTAAAACAATATTTGCATATGCGTCTATATCTTTTTATCTGTATGTCTTTATCAATCTCTGACCAACAATTATTTATTTTTTAATTAGGATTATGCGCTTGAAGGTCATGGTTAATCGCGAATTAATCGCCTACTTTTTTTATCTTTCTTTATGTCCGTCGAATCATCATTTTTAATCATCTTAATAAACGTCACAAATAAAATAAAAAGATAAAAAAAATAAAAAATCATAAAAAATAAAAAAAATAAATAACTAAGTTAAAAAAAAAAAACAAAAAAAAAATTGTTTTTTTAAGTTGTTAGATTTCACACTCACACTTAATGCAATATGTCATACAATTCAATGTGTCATAAACTGACGTTGAACGTCTTTAACCATTGAAGCCAGAAAGATTCCCTCATCCACTTCTACTTTCAGTGCTGGGAGCGCTGTTGTGCATTTTACCTCGAGGTCTCGGGAAAGCGGACACGTCATGTTTTCTTTTTGCTGACAATTCTCTTATTGTAAATTCTCTGACCAATGAAATGCGATAAGGGTAAACTGGGATGAAAAATTTTCTGTGGTCGCGAATTCCAACTTTTTCTTGAAAATGTAATTTCTGTGAATTGTGTGACCGCGGGATGTTTGCTACTGTACATACATCGAACGATTCGATTCCTCCGTTTGACCTCGGGATGAATCTGTGGCGCTTTGACAACAGCTCAGCCGAGCCGCGCAGCCATAACGGGGTCATGTACGATTGCGGACAGAACCATCCCCAGCTTGTTGCATGTGAGGGTATTGTTTGTCTTCCCGTCTATCCGGTTTTAGTGTCTCTTCTCCCAAAGGACACAAAATCAAGATTAAATGCTCAGGTACCTACATTTTTTGTTTGCATTGACATTGCATGCACTAAAGTGAATTGTTAGTGACAAATCCAACAGAACAATCCACAACAGTTGTGTTTTTTAAAATGTTGCTTACTTGAAAAAACAAAAAACAAAAAAAAGAGTCCTGTGAGTAATTATTTGACTTTTTATGGGTGAGAGGGACTTTTTAAATATTTTTTTCCACATAGTTTTTGATTATTGTATGAGAACATGTGTTGTCTCACATTGTTTTTGGTTATTTTATTAATCTGTCCTTTGTGAAGTTGTTTATTTTTGATAGTATTCTTACTGAAGGTTGTATAATAATACGCTGCATTCTTATTTTAAAGCCACAATGTCAGCTCTCAAATTCTTATGCATTATGTTTCTATGTTTCGTGATAATCATTCTGCTAGACATTGAATTTCAGGAAAACTTCAGGTTTTTGGAGGGTGGTTCTCAAGTCGGCGTTAGGTTTTACTGGTATGTTTTACCTGGGGTGTCGGGCCTATTATGCGATAATGGTAAAAAACCCCTTCACTGCCCTTTATAGGGAATCATAAAACAGGGGTGGATTACAAAATGAAATAGCAAAGTGCCGGAAAGTTGGTTCTTTGTTGCGCTTTCTACATCAGTCTTGGCAAGAGAGTGGCGGAAGGAGGAGAGTTGGCATCAGCCGTGTGTTTGGCATCAAGTGGTAAGTCAAAGTGGATGTGTCTTCGGCGATAACTTGTTCAACCAGCTATACACTCAGATAACTTAAGTCTTGTCAATTCATAGCAACTTTTTTGCAACTTAGGCTTTCCTTCTGAAGCTTGTCATTTCGGCATTTCACGCTAGACAAACCAGTCTCTTTTCAACAGTAGTGTTTTTACGCTTCTTACAGGAACTACAACTGAAGTTGGTCAACATATCTATAGTGTGATTTTTTTAAAATTACAGCGTTTCATATTGATTTGCGTAAACGCTGTTAAATATTTACATTGTATTTATTCATATTATTGTTGTCGCCCCCGCCCCACAATCCATGACGCTTAGTGTTTGGGTTTGTGTTGTTGCTTGTTAGCCTGTTACCGGCTCTCGGTCGCTGTGAAAGAAAGGTTTGTCTAGCAACTGGTTTCAAAAAGTTGCCATAACTGAAGTTATGGAATGACACTAAAGTTTTCTGAGTGTAAGCTGGGGTGTGAGCTAGCGTGAGGTATCACCGTAGACATCCACTACACATGGCTGAAGCAAAAAACACTCCTCCGCCTCGCTCTTGTCAAGACATATGATTGCGCAACTGAGAACAAAGTGTTAGGTCTTTGTTACTTTATTGTCTATATCACCTGTTTTGATCCCTTAGAAAGGGTAGTTGAACGGGATTTTTACCCAATTATCGCATAAAAGGCGGACTCACACTGGTAAAACATACCTGTAAACTACGGCCGACTTGGAGAACACCCTCCAAAACCTGAAGTTTTCTGAAATCATGTCTACAGAATGATTATCTCGAAACATAGTAACATAATTCCAAAAGAATTGTGAGCTGACATTGTGGCTTTAATTAAGAATGACAGGCGTTATTATTATAAAACCTTCAGTCTAGAATAATACAAAAATAAAAACTTATTACAAAGGACAGATAATAAAATAACAAAAACACTGTGGAGAATCAAAACTCAGGTTTCTCAATACAATATGTTCAAAAACTATGTCGGAAAAAAATATTTAAAATGTCCTCTCTCAGCCCTAAAAAGTCAAATAATTACTCTCAGGACTCTTTTTTGTTTTTTGTTTTTTCAAGGAAGCAAAATTATAAATACACAACTGTTGTGGTTTGTCCCCCCTTTCCTTTTCCTTTTTCTTGGAGTTTTTCATCAACATTTCACTTTTGTGCATGCATTGTCAATGCAAACAAAAATGTTAGGTACTGAGCTTGATTCTAGTGAGTTTTGGTTGTCCTTTGGGAGGAGACACCGGGAGAGACGGGAAGTCCAAACAATTAACCGCACATGTCAACAAGCTGGGGATGGTTCTGTACGCAATCGTACATGACCCGTTAGGTGCGCGTTCGCTGAGATGTTGTCAAAGCGGCCACTAGGTTCTCCGAGGTCATGTTCGGAGGGACTTGAATCCCGTTCGTGTATGTCAGCAAAACATCCGCGGTCCAACATTTCCAGAAATGACATTTTCAAGAAAGTTGGAATTCGCGGATCACAGAAAATTTTCATTCTGGTTTTCCCTGATGCTTTTCATTGGTCTAGAGTAATTTACCATGAAGAGAATTGGTCTAAAAAAGATAAACAGTACGGTCCGCTTTCCCGGCCTCGAAGGTAGAGATGCTAACAGCGCTCCCAGCTCTCGACGTAGAAATGAGGGAATGCTTTCCTGGCTCAATGGTTAAAGACGTTAAACGTTCTGTGTTATGACTGCATTGCAATTGTATGCATTTTGCATTACGTGTGAGTGTGAAATCTAACACTTAAAAAAACAAAAAACATTTTGTGACGTTATAAGATGATTAAAATGTTGATTCGACGGGACATAAAGAATAGATTAAAAAATGGTGCGATATCGCGAGTTAACATGACATTCATGCGTCTTTATCCTAATTAAAAAGATTATTGTTGGTCTGTGTTGTTATAAGACATACAGATAAAAAGTATAGACGCATATGAAAATATGGTTTTCATTATAGACAAAGCTCGTATGAAACCACTTACTTAATTCTTTGCTATAAATTGTTTTTTTTCCCAGATGCTCAAAAGATTTAGCCCTGGATCACTAAGTGGTGCTATGAGTCTGCGCCCGTGGCTGAATCTTAGCCAGAGCCTGAATCAAATACTACTGATTTTGGCTTCTTCCAGTCTTGTGTATGAATACCTCCTTTTGAGACAAACATGTGTTCCCTCTGTGTTTCAGTTGTTCATGGGTTTTGTTCCTCTGTGTTTCAGTCTGATCATGGTTGTTCCTCTGTGTTTCGTCTGATCATGGGTTTTGTTCCTCTGTGTTTTCTGGTCTGATCATGGGTTTGGTTCCTCTGTGTTTCAGTTGATCATGGGTTTGGGGTTCCTCTGTGTTCTTGTTGATCATGGGTTTTGTTCCTCTGTGTTGCAGTGATTCATGGGTTTGGTTCTCTGTGTTTCAGTTGATCATGGGTTGGTTCCTCTGTTGTTTCAGTCTGAGCATGGGTTTGGTTCCTCTGTGTTTCAGTCTGATCATGGTTTGGTTCCTCTGTGTTTCAGTCTGATCTGGGTTGGTTCTCTGTGTTTCAGTCTGTCATGGGTTTAGTTTCTCTGTGTTTGCTGTTGATCTTGGGTTTGGTTCCTCTGTGTTTCTGTCTGATCATGGGTTGGTTCCTCTGTGGTTCAGTTGATCATGGGTTTGGTTCCTCTGTGTTTCTGTATGTTCATGGTTTGGTTCCTCTGTTGTTTCAGTCAGATCATGGGTTTGGTTCCCTCTTGGGTTTCAGTCTGATTGTGGGTTTTGTTCCTCTGTGTTTCAGTCTGATCTTGGTTTGGTTCCTCTGTGTTTCAGTTGATTGTGGGTTTTGGTCCTCTGTGTTTCAGTTGATTGTGGGTTTTGTTCCTCTGTGTTTCAGTCTGTTGGGGGTTTTGTTCCTCTGTGTTTCAGTCTGAATCATGGGTTTTGGACAAAGGCCAAAGTGGAAGATCTTCTGAAGAGGAAGCAGAGAGGGACGTTTACTGCGCTTCAGCGGAAAGTATGATGGAGGTGTTACCTTCTCCTGGAGAGGACACCACCATCACCGGTCTGTTCACTCTGGTCTCAGTAGCATGACGTGGTTTTTTATCTGTGCCAAAAGGCTGCTGTCGGTATCACTTTGCTCAGGGACTTGAGAAAGTTAAAGATGATAAAAGGATGGAGTATTGTGTTACTTTAC